ATTATGGACTCAAATATTGTACTTATTTATAATGTATTACTTAATTATTTTGTTTTTTAATATTTATTATTTAATTTTAATTATTATAAACTCTATTTAATTATTATACATTAGATTAATTTATAAATATTTAAATATAAATAGTTATAGTTTTATTTAATTTATATTATTTTAAACTTTAATAAAATGTATTGAAGTTTAATTTGAATATTAAAACTATTTACAATAAACATGTTTTAAACATAAAAATATTTGTTAAATAAAACGTGTGGTCATTTAAGGGGAAAAAATTATCACAAAAAACATATTTTATAGAAAAACAATGATTCAGCCCGATCTAACATTATGCAACGGGTCAAGTCACCTGAAATGTTAATAGCCTAGGTCAATTTAAGGCTTTACAATTACATTGAATAAATTACTTTTTGTATATTTACTTAACTCAGTCATACCATTTTATATTGAAGTTTAACACACTTTTAATTAAACGTGCACTTAAGCAATTGACCACCACTCGTGTACAGTATATGGTTTTCAGGTAAAAACCATATTAATTATTTAAGATATCGTTAATTGATAGCTCAAAAACAGTTCATTTAGATATTAAAGACCAGTTATATTGAAAGTAACACCCAATCACTAGTGAATTAATTTATTATCTTGTTATAAAAGTACACAAACTGTGTGCGAATTATAGCCAACCTATCCCTATGGGGTTAGAGTTCATAAAAACATTTTCCCATTCAATGACACCTAAAAAACTGAAATAACTGTAAAATCATTGATGACTTGTTTAGGTCCTAACCTTTAGAAAACATAAAACTTGTGTTAAATTCACACGTTTTTGTTGAGGGATTTGTTGATCCAAACTGTATAGTCATTAATTAAATTACTGACCACTTTCTGACGAGGTATATAAAACAGTGGTATGACTTTTTTTTGTTTGTTTAACCATTTTGTATTTTTCCAATATATAACTTATTAAACAATAATATCATTTCTGATAAATAAAGTGATGTATATTTCCAGAGATATTTGTATATCAAACATAATCTCATATATCAAAGTCAATGGTTTTAATACACGTTTAGTATTTACATGTTTGACATTAATTTGCATTATAAGTGGTATTGGAGGCAAAGCGAAAGATAGTTTCTCGGCTAACACTACACGACCACAACAGTATCAAAGGTATTAATCTATTAGGATATTACTGTTGAAAGTGATCATGACGTTAACTATTGATGTTTTTTAAAGGTTGTTTCTATTTAGTAACGGTGTGCTGACAATAACTCCTAAACTGCAAGTGCCGTACGAACTGACCGGTAGTGTGGCCTCCGGACTGTCCATCGGATTGCCTATAAAAGTGAGATTTCAGTCACAGTTTCAGCTGATGTCCGAATGGATTAAACAACTGTTGATTACCAAAGCCCAGGGTTTGAATAAAAATCTCAATTCATTTGGTCTATCATTGTCTCAATTAGTGGGTATGAAATTAATTACATTATTTTGATATAACACTTTCAGTGCAATTAATATAATTAATTTTTAACTATTTTTTTGCAAAATAACAATAATTTGCTTATAGCTTACGTCAATGGCTTTACAAATGCCGACCAACATATGGCCAAAACTAAATCACATACAAGTATTAATGCTAATAATATTGGCACCAATGGTGGTGATGTTGTCTTTGATAATGATGGTAATCTTATGGATTCTTACACTTCTAACACTTCCACTGTTGACAATGGGTCTCATGTCTTACCTGACAATATTGGCCGCAAAGACAACGATAGTCTATATTTGCAAAATAAATTGGCGAAAAGTAGCCGATTTCAGGCCAGATCTCAATTATATAAGGTATGTCTAGACATAATTGATTATAATTATTATTTGATATACAAATTAAGCGTAAATGTTATAAATAATTATATAAATAAAAGTAAAATATTCTGTATTATCTGCGATATACTGTATATTATACAGTGTATAACAATGTATACTATATATTGTATAGGATATAAGGCTAACACCAAAGTATAGTTTGGTTAACCCAACACTCAATAAGTAAATTAATTAATTATTTATTTAATTAAGCGTTAATGATTTTTATTTCATTAATGAATTAATAAGTAATTTTCTGGCAAATTGTTTGTTTTGAAAATAGCATAACTAATGAACTTTTAGCACCAATAATGTTTCCTTATATACATTACAAAACTATTCATTTTATTAAATCATTTATTATTTTATTTATGAAAACAAAAGACAATAGAAATAAGTCACTCAACGTTAGGCCGGAGTTGTCTTCAAAGAGCTATCTGTGAAGTATCGCAAACACCACTCATTGCCCCAAATACTGGACTTATTGGACAATTAATTGATATGTTTCTTACGTAAGAAAAATTTCATTAGATCTAAAAATAGTAATTGTTTCAAAACTCTCTCTCTCTCTCTCTCTCTCTCTCTCTCTCATGTGATTAATTAATTGATATTTTTATAAATATTGTAAAAGTATTGATCCAATACATGAAGAATATAGCGATGATATCGACGATTATATTGAAGCCCAAGCCGTTGGTGTGAAGTCCTATGTTAGACAACTGTCCACTGATGTCAAAAACTATAGTTTTACGGATGAGTGCCTAATTCAATACGGGATTAAATGTCCTTTCTCCTTATTTAACATTATGCACATTTTGCCAGTTAGTTTATCACAAGGTTAATATAAATTTACAATTAATTTTCTTTTAGTTTTTCTATCACGTTATACAATAGTTTTTAAAACATAGTTTTATTCAAAAATGTACCCATAATTTAAATAATCAATTAAACTGTGTGTGCGCTCAACACATACCAGAGCCGTGGGATAGAAATATAATCAATTATATATTTATTATTCAATTATATTAATTGCATTTCTACTGAAAGACGACGTTTTTATAATGTTTTTATAACTCATATATAAAATATACGTATATTTTTCATACATTTATTTCTGTTTTTAATATCCATTCATACGATTGAATAATTAAGTTAATTACAAATGTTTTGTTTGTTTTATATATTCATAAATTATATGGAAATTCACCAGAATTTATTTATTAACTTTAATTTATAAACTTGATGTACATGATTTTATTTAATGTTTTATTTAAAATTAATTATTCAATTGTTTTCAAAATTGTGTAAAATCAAAGTTATGCTCTCATTGATTAGTTTAGTGTTAATTTCGAAGTAAGCCTTACTATTAATTTAAGCATAATTTTGATTCAAATTAGCATGATTGTATTGAAAATATTTGTTTAATAAATCCCATACAGTTTTACTCAATAAAAATTAAAATGTTTTTTTTAAATGTTGTCCTTTGGCCAATGTCTTAGTATAGAGATGATTAACAACATTATGATATATTAAATAACTTATCATTAAATACATAAATATATTTATTAGTAAATCATAAATAAATATCTTATTTTAATACAAGAATAAGTTAATATAATAATTAATTTGACGTACATATTAATATAACATTCAATTACAATTGAATTAGTCATTTTAATTTGTCTCTATGTACTATAACTAATAATTCATGTCTAAAAACATAGTTTAAAATATACTGTATTTAAAATACAATTAAAATGAGATTAAAACATACAATGTACATTATAATTACTTCAATAATACTGTGCACATCTATTTGGATATACAACTACCCCTCAACCCACTACAGAACAGGGGAGGGGTCTCTTAGTCAACCTAAACCCCTTAAAATGGATAGAAACCGGACGGACCGATAAAATAGATATTCTTATAGTTGGCGGACAAGTCCTCGCGGGTAAACATAATGGGCACTCGACGGCGGACACTGAGCCCTAGCTTTTCTGCCAAATACTGCGCGCCATCGTTCACATCCCAGGTCTCCAGATAGAGCCCGTCATAGCCCACAAACTTGATTATCCCGTTATAAGTAAGCGCTTCGGCGATGTCGTCGCTGTTGGCGTAGAGGGGCTGAGGGCTTATGGAGTTGTCATTTGTGGTCTTGAATATGGCATAGCCCGCGATATAGCCGTTCTCGATGTACCGGCACAGCAGTGATATGGTTCCCGACTCTGCGATCGCCATCTCCAAGAATTGGGCCCTATTTAGGCCGCATATCTGCTCATCGTATTCAATCACGTCCACCAAATTATGCACTAAATTTGACATAGATTTGTATGATTATGAGGGAATATTTGCAATTATCATGTGTATATTTCGGAATTTCAAGTTAATTGAGAATTTATTAGTGAAAATATGATTATGATAAAATAGTTACCCGTGATGTATTCAATTTCGCAGTAATCGCAGTATTTGTTGAGCGCAAACATCTGGGGAACGCCTGAGTAGGCGATCATACGTCGGGCGGGAATCACTTGAAAGCCGGACTTGTCTTTGAATGTGGCGA